CCCTCATCCAGTCCGTGACAGCGGCCAAGCACCGGTTCATGACCTGAACAGCCTCCTTAGTGACAGGTGGAAGCCGAAGGGAGCTTTTTCAGCCTAAAAAAGGAGCTGAAAAACTAGGCTTATACTCGAGTATATATAGTATTTCTAGGGCAGCTCAGCAAAAGGCAACATTCTCATGTGAGCTACTGTCCAGGAAGCAAGCCACATGCCAGCGACGCCAGACACTGAAAACTCACACTCAGCTCCCATGATCTAGCTGAGGTCCGTACCCCTGCGCCAATCATCATTGCTGCCAACAGAATATCCAAACTGTCTAAAGGTAAAGTTGTAATCCAAATACCAAAGGAAACATGTCACACTGACATTATTATTATTATTATTGTTGTTATTATGTTTATATCCTGCTTTTGCTCTCCACATGGAGCCACCAAGAAGGAAGGCCCACCAACCATGTTTGAGATGGAGGTGGGATTGAGAGAAGGGCTTTCCTGAAGATCAAAGGACCTAGGCAAGTTCGTACAAGGAGATGCTGTAAGCCATTTACTCCAATTGTTAATTATTATTATTATTATTATTATTATTCCATATCTACCCCAGAGAAAGGGTCAGCACATTCGAAGCAGACTATTTATATTCAGCACAAATCCATATGTAACATAGCACAGAAAATGGAAAACAAACAGCCATAAACTCACCATTAAATCCATTATTCAGCAAATCAGTGTACATATCAAAAGCCTTTGCATATGCCATATGCTGCAAGGATTAAAAGAAAATGAATAATGGATATTAGTCTATTGCTCTGGGGAAAGAACAGAAGAGGTGCTATGAAAATGATTCCAACTGTACCTTCACCATCCCTCTGATCATTGTACAGTACGAATGTGCGTTTTTTTCTGGCATTAGGCTAAATATTCTCTCAGCGTTGTTGTTCTCCCTGTTATTTTGAAAACAACATGATTGAAATTAATATACATTTTTACTTGTTTTGTAAAATGTGTAGACAGAAGATGTACTGAAATAAAGTATAAACCGTTTATGGACACACATTATTATGATGTTTATTCATACTCCCCTTTTTCTCAACACGAGTTGTATTAAACATCGCCATGTCCTTAATGTAGCACACGGTTCACATATCACCACATGTAAACCTATTCATTCACTCATAAGCCATAATGTATATGGTTAGCCTCATAACTTAGAGAGAAGGTAAGATTGAACACTGGAGGTAGCCAGTGAAAAAATATGCAAGCACATAGCATTTTTAGCCACTATGATATAAATGTAGTCAATTAAATGTGGACACAAGCATGATTCTGCATCTCCACCACATGTTTTTTTGTGCCACTGTTCAATGTTTATGCTATTTAGATTTATGAGATTTATATTAGTTGCTTTGTATTAGTATTTGTATTTTGCTTCGCATTGTAATTGTTATTGCTTGTATTGATGTATTGTGGGCTCGGCCTCATGTAAGCCGCACCGAGTCCCTTGGGTGATGGTAGCGGGGTATAAATAAAGTATTATTATTATTATTATTATTATTATTATTATTATTATTATGTTGTGAAACACAGTCAGCTATCAAGTCAGTCTCGTAATTTTGTGAAAGTGTGTGACCCTATTTGGCATTATTCCAGAAGTTGCCTTTCATTTTGTTGGAGGCTGATCTACCGTATTTTCCGGTGTATTAGACAACTTTTTAAGCCTAGAAAATCCTTGCTGAACTTGGGGGTCGTCTAGTACGTCAGGTATAAAAAATCACATTCCGATTTGGGCCCAAAACAAGATGGAGGCTCAAAACAGGCGAGGAAGGCGGGTAGCTGCCCTGTGCTGCAGCAGGGCGCCTGAAGCAGCAGTAGCTGCTGCGCTCCTCCACCGCCGCTTAGTGCCCGCTTCCAGGCTTCAGTCCCCCTAAGGGGTTCTTCCACTCCATGCCCACCTCGGCTGTCAGTGTGGTGGAGGAGGAGGCAACAATATACTCGCCGGACAGCTGCATGGCCTCCTCCTCCTCCGCTGCAATGACAGCTGAGGCGGGCATGGAGTGGAGCAGTTTCTCAGGGAGGCTGAAACCCAGCAGTGGGAGCCAAGCAGTGCTGCCTTGAAGTAGATAAGGTCCTCAGAGAGAGAGAGAAGGCAACACGACTGCTTCCAGCCACCGGTGACTTTTGTGTGAGTGCCACCCGATCGTACTCCCCGGCTCAGCCCGGTTCCTGCTCCTCTTCCCCGCTCCCTTCGGCAAAACGGGAGAGTGGCCTGGCTCTGGTACTGGCTGAGCGCCGTTAGGGAGAAAAAGCTGTTTGCCTCCCGGAGGAAGGTGGAGAAGGAACAGTCCGTGGAGGCTGTGTGCGTGTCCTTGAAGCCGGAGGTTCCCTTCTCCCCCCGGTCCGTTGTGTACCTCACTGACATGCGTGAGGTAGCCCTGAAATACAGTAGCTGCGCATCTGTTCTCCCCAGAGCAACTTTTTGGAAGTGGGAGGGGCCCTCACTCCTTTGTCGAGGCCCTGAGGTGCCGCTTGGCTCCCGCTGCCAGGCTTCAGACTCCCCAGGAGGCTCTTCCATTCTATGCCCGCCTTGGCTGTCAGTGCGGCGGAGGAGGCGGCAATATACTCGCCGGAGGGTCGTGTCACCACCTCCTCCGTCGCATGACAACCGAGGCAGGCATGGAATGGAAGAGCCCCTCAATGAGGCTGAAGCCTGGCAGTGGGAGGCAAGTGGTGCAGGGCAGCTGCCCACCTCCCTCGCCTGTTAGGAGCCTCCATCTTGTTTGGATCCGTAACAGGAAGTGATGCTTTGGACCCAAAACAGGAAGCCATAAGCACGGCGGTTGGCTAGTTGCGGCGGAGCCTGGCTGCCGGTGGCGGGGAGGCTGCCTCTATGGAGGCGAGAAGCCACCTCAAAGCTCAGGAAAGGAGGCTTCGGGGTCTGAAGGGGTTGGCAAGAGGGGTGGTCTAATACGGCGAGTATATCCAAAAAACTGAAAATTTAAATTGAAAAGTTGGGGGAGGGGGTCCACTTATGTGCCCAATCATCTAGTATGCCGAAAAATACGGTAATTTATTTCTCCTTGCCCACTGACATTTAGTTTACATGTTTTGCACATTGGAAGTGTACTTGACAATTAAGAAATTTAAGACTGTGGCGCAGCTGTCTGGGTGTCAGCTGCATTAAGATCACTTCTGACCACAAGGTCATGAGTTCGAAGCCAGCCCGGGTTGGAGTGAGCTTTCGACCAATTGTGTAGCTTGTTGTCGACCTTTGCAACCCGAAAGACAGTTGCATCTGTCAAGTAGGAAAATTAGGTACCACCTATGTGTGGGGAGGCTAATTTAACAAAATTTACGAGGCCATAAAAAAGACTCCAGCAAAGCATGCGGGGAATGCGGAAGTATTTCATCAGTGTCGCAGATGGACACATCAGTGTCGCAGATGCGCAGTGTCGCAGATGGCCGCTAAGGGAGAAGGCTCCCTTGGCGGCCAGAAAAAAGTTAAATAGTCTCTGACTGTTTGTCTCTATCTGTTGTATGTCTTTGGCATTGAATGTTTGCCATATATGTGTACATTGTAATCCGCCCTGAATCACCTGCAGGGTGAGAAGGGCAGAATATAAATACTGTAAATAAATAAATAAATAAATAAATAAAATATTATTTTTTTTAAAAAAATCTAGAAGTTATACACAGATTAAACAGGACTTTGTTTATGTTAAGCCACTTATTCCAATGTGGCTAGGCCTTTTAATAGGGACAAATGGCAGGAGATACTAATATTCATTAATAGAGTGCAGATTTATGCTTAAAGAAAGAGCTGTCAACATTCAGATACCTCCATTTAATGCCAAAGCTATCAGCAGCATTCTGAAAGTTGCCTCTCTGTCTATTTTCTTCAGGAGTTTCTTCCTGGAAAAAATAAGGTTACCAGTATAAATCTTCTGGCATGGGTATCGTAATACATGTTCCCTAATCGTAATACAGTAAGTATATAAATTAATGAGGTCTAAATAAAAATTTTACACAAACTAATGCATTCTAATTAATTGAAACAAGACACTAAAATAATTAAAAAATCAAAATTTTTAATTCTATTTTCAAATATAAAACACCAAGAACTGTTATGGAAAAGCATAAAGAAGCAATGTGCTTCATAATCCCAAAGAATGCAAACTGGTTGTGAATCTGGCAGCCAGGGCCTGTCACCACCTAGCTGTTGCCCTAAACAGGGACTTGAGAATTCACTTTTTTGTATCTTTGAAGGGTCCTGTAAGTAATCCACTGCACTGAAAGCCTTTTTAAAAATTTAAAATACGGACTATATCTATAAGCCAAACTACCTCTTTATACCTATATACTACTCACCCACAGTTGCTTACCAAGTCTCCCACTTCACGGTTACCTCCGTGACTATTCTCCTGATTTGATTCTCTATCTCCATAAAAACACAGAAGATCGAGAAGTCTGTTTGAGGTCTCCAAGGATATGGGGGTTCCTGCAAATGAAAAATAGATGGACTTGTTAATTCCTTGGTGTTTTTGAGCTAAACATTGCCTTAACCAAATATATTATGAGCTGATCTTTAAGCTCCAAGATGAAGAAGTGGTTGTACGTTCTCAAATGTGCCATTATCAAATGATAAACATGTGTCTTTTTAACCACACTATCATCTAAACCCTATTGCAGTTTCAACAAGAGTAGACCCATTGAATCAAAGGGATTTTCAGAAGCAATGACTCACAATTGAACAATAAATTCAATAGGTGTGATTTTTAATTAGGCTCACTAATAGGATTTCTATTCAACCACCTAGAAAAAATGCCTAAAGTGATGCCAAATGTGCAGACAGCATCTTGTGGATAAAATTATCATATGAAAGAAGGACTGCTATGAAATATACTACTGCCCAGTTTAGCTAGGACTGACACTTCCTCTTCCTCAAACCTCAATGATGCTCTTTTTAGAAAATACCAATATGTTAACAGCTTGGATTCAATAGCTGGTGCAAAGTCAGCGTACCTACAGAATGCTGGGCACCTACTAACCAGGGATTTAAAAGATTACAGCTTTAGATTGATACCTGCTTGCAGAAGTTGATCATACATGTCTACAGAAGCTTTTACTTTTTTGAAGTGGATTCGATTTTTAAGTGTATCCTCACTCACGTCTTCAAGCTGAGGTGCCAACTCCTCTGGCATGAAACTCTAAAACAAAAGAGAAAGAAGACAGTTCTTATTACATCACCTAAAGAGAGAGAGAAATGCTAGTGTTCCCTTCAAGTCTTTGAGTTAGTGCAAACCTGCAACACATTCCCTCCTATAAAAGTGTCTTCTAAAAATTTATTTATTTATTTATTTACTATTCTTGTATACCGCTGTATCTCAAGCCCGAGGGCGACTCACAGCGGTTTCCAAAAAGCAAACAACAGAGACAGTAAAAACAGCAGTAATCAATATATCATAACAGTTAAACTACACAATTCCATTTCTAGCAATAAACAAACATCAATACACAGTTATCACAAAAACCCACCCCGGATCGCCTCATCATCCAAACGTGATCCAAATTCGTCGTCCATTGTTCCTTTCCTATGTTCAATTTACCAGAGATTGCACTGAATTACTCAAACGCCTGCACAAACATCCAGGTCTTCAACTTTCTACGGAATGACATGAGAGATGGTGCCAGCCTAACATCTACAGGAAGGGCGTTCCACAGCCGAGGAGCCACCACCGAGAAGCATAATTATGAATGCCCTTCTGGTGCTCTTCTGTCCTTGTGATCCCTTGTCAGTTTTTTTTATTGCAGACTAAAGCCACAAAAGCAGACGCAATATATCAATGGAACAAACATAGCTTACAAGTTCCTATTTATTTTGACTTACAAGTTCCTATTTATTTTATGATCATGATCTGCTAATTGAATCTGGGCTTAATTCAGTGATTCACACAGGTAATAAGGCCTCTAAATGCCATCAGCAGAACTGGCTCTCCTAGACATTTTTCAAAGAGGCCAAAATAAAAATTAAGATTGCTGATTGTAAAGGACTTCTTACCTTAAGCAGTTAGATTGTGGGCCTGGCGAAGCCCTAGCGGCCATCTTAGGATAGGGAAACAAGGAGACGCCATCTTAACTTATAGGTTTTCTAGAGGGGGCATGTCCTACTCCAGGAAGCAGAGATTAGATGGCCAGGATTGGTTAGAAAATAGGGGTCGGAGCCTAGCGTTCAAAAAGGGAAAAAAATGTACCTTTTGAACTGAGGCCTGAGTTGGCAGTTGGAAATTGGCTGTTGGGAGTTTGTCAGTTGGTGATAACAGTTGGTTGGTGTTAGATAGGAGAGCTGGGTTAATCTTTTGTGGTATTCAAGAGCTATAGAAATAGATAGCAAGAATACAGATAGTGGAACAGGACCTTGTTTGTGATCTGTTCTTTGTCCCAGAGGAAGGCTAGGCCAAAGGCTATTGGCTAGATTCCAGAAAGGGGGAATTTTGTTTGGAATTATTATCAGCAATTAATTTCCTGAGATAATCTTCTGTTTTGTTAATATGAAGATTTGAACCCAGAACCCACCTAAGAACTGTACACCAAACGTAACCAGAAGCTTATGTACCAGTAACTTATGGAAACCACTACGCATTTGTACGAGAATAAGTTTAAGCCTGTTAAATAAATGTTTATAACACTCTCGGTGTGAACATCATTGTGATTTAAACCCTCTAAAGGAAACAAACACTATTGTAACACAAAAGGCTGTTACTAAGTATACTCTCCACATACAACTCAGCCTGATGACCAAACAAAAAGGTGGCAGCGAAAACAATTGAAGAAACAGTTCCCAAACTCTGCAGTTCAGGCTTAATTCAAATATATATCAAATTGCCTCTTTCCTGTTTTGAAAATCCCCCTGCACCGATATAATTTGGTTGGCATCTTGTGGGGTTCACTATTTTAAAATTCCCTGCTAAGTTCCTTATAATTAGTGACAATCGGCTGGTATAGTTCCCCCCAGGTTCCTCATAATTGGTGGTACAGCAGTGTGATATCCTCATACTGATATACCCATTCGTACTTGAATTCTCATTTCTAGAGATTGGCTACTTACGAGCCTTTGCCAGAGGCATTGTTTTAATCTTGAAGGAAACTTGCAAATGTCATCACTGTCTCATTCAGTCAGAGAACAGTTGGCTCTCTACATTTGCAGATTTGATTCTTCTGAGTGAGATTATTCAGATATCATTAAATATTCTCTCTAGAAATCTGCAGGCCCTTCAACGTAACCCTGTGGTCAACTTCTGATGGAAACTGATCACAAAGTCCTACTACCAGATCTAGAAATTCCTAGAGATTGTCACAATGGAGGACCTAGAGATGTCTTCTCCCAGGTTTAATTTTTTTTATTTGGGTTTTTTCACTTTTATGAGAGTGCTGTGACTCCCGAGCCAGAATATCACCCACCAGTTATAAGAAACATAAAAATGTTTGTTTGATCAGGGCTTATTTTAATTCATATGAGTTCAGTACTTTAAAAAAATCTTTTCAAAGCAAAGGATTAACTTTGTTAAATTCTTTTGTGATCTAGGCCCCCCCCCCCCCCCCATGACAAAACCAAATGTATATAAAATAAAAAGACAAAGAGATTACCGGTACGTGAGGTTCAGCAATGTCCTTCTTAAAATATTTAGGATGTGTGTTAATGACATATTTGGCTGCATTTTTCCCAGATTCTTTTGACAAGGAAAACAAACGCTGTAAAAATAAAACATTACTTAAGAACTCAGAGGGAAACCATATCTTTCAAGCTTTCTTATCGATAATTCTAGTATTATTAAATCAGGTCTTCTCTTGGAAGTTTGCATAAGCATCAGCCTTGATATTGCTCCAATAACTTGTATTTTCCCAATAATACACCTGTACTTTCTAGCATACAATTCTTTCTATCATACAATTCTTGTTTTATGCCACTCTTAACACAGCATATGACATGGAAAGGCATGATACAATTCTCTCCAATTAATAGAGACCTATTATTTCAGCAAAATCAAAAAGGCCCTTTTCGAATCTCTAGAGATTGCCTTTCAAACAGGAGTCAGTGATAAAATAAGCCTAAATGAGAGAAGGAAATAGGTTTTAATGGAAATAATGGAGAAGTGGATTGTAGGGTAGATTTAAAGAGCTAGCAGGATATTACAAAGAGTTCCTTTCTTCTATAACTTAAAAGCAACAAATCTTGAGAGTATTTTACAAGCACCTGAAATATGATACTCTGTCATGAGATGCAATTCCTGGGCAAATAAATAGGATAAATCGAACTTGTGCTTCAATTCATAGACTATAGGTTGCACGTTTTGCTTTATAAAGTATCGTGGTTGGCCACAGCAAAGGAGACTACAAAGTGGCCCTGCAGTGATAGTCAAATTGAACACACAACTCACTTTTCTCCCCCTGCTAAGCTCCAGTTGGGTAACAGGAAAAAGCACATTTACTGCAATTTACCGATTCCTGGAGTTTTCCCCGCATAGAAATCTACTTATGAATATTGGCCAAGTTTCCAAACAGTTTGTTTACTTGTGAAAAGATCAATTTTAAAGATGTTACTTACAAACTCAGAACTTGTTCTAGGAATAAGATATGGGTCATCTTGAAATATATAGGGAGCAGCTGTAGTATCCTGGAATAAAAAAAAGAACACTTATAGGTGTTATATAGAACAGGACTTCTCAGGCTCTTTCAACACTTCCCTATATCCCAGGATCTGATCCCAGATTATCTGCTTATCCCAGATTATATGGCAGTGGAGATTCATATAATTCCGTTGAAATCAGATAATCTGGAATCAGATCCTGGGATATGGAGCAATGTAGATCCAGCCTTAAACTTTTTTTCAGTCAAACATTTACTGATAAGTCAGTGTTTGCAAGGCTTGCTAAACAGGCTAATTCTCCTTTTTAAGAAACACAGCTCAAACACATTCTGTATAGTCCATGGTAAAAACTGAATGCTGCTGCTAACAGATTTGTATAAATGTCTAGGTGACATCCAGAAGGCTTTTACTATTGCCATTTTTTTGCAACCCCAATTGAGCAAAGAGAACCTCATTTATAATTGGGACCCATAGTTTAAGTAGTGATATGGACAAATATAATAGTATTATAGCAGAGGTTAAAATTCGCATTTTGACAAAATTTTACAATCCACCCCTAAGATGTAGTCGTTTTATTTCTCTCACCTCTACTTCTAAAACCCGTAACACACAAGTGAAGACTGGTTTTGGTTTTGCATCCATGTACCCAAGAAGGCTCAAAAGGGTAAAAGCTGGTTCCTGCCCCTGCACAGTTGCTCACTCAAGAGTGGAAATATTTTTTCCTGTTTGCTAATTCTGAATTTAGCAATACTGAAATTGAGAGCAAAAAATGATCCACATTATTGTGTCCACGAATTTTACAATAATTTCCTCTCAATGTTGGAGGGAATTTTCAAAAACAATGAAACACTGCACTAAGTTTCAGGGTTTTTGTTGTTGTTTTTTATCGTGTCAGGAGCGACTTGAGAAACTGCAAGTCGCTTCTGGTGTGAGAGAATTGGCCGTCTGCAAGGACGTTGCCCAGGTGACGCCTGGATGATTTGATGTTTTTATCATCCTTGTGGGAGGCTTCTCTCATGTCCCCGCATGAGGAGCTGGAGCTGATAGAGGGAGCTCATCCGCCTCTCCCCGGATTCGAACCTGCGACCTGTCGGTCTTCAGTCCTGCCGGCACAGGGGTCTAACCCACTGCACCACCGGGGGCTCCAGGTTAATCACCACAGTATCTTTGTTGTTGTTTCTAATTTATGGAGACACAAAAGCAAATATATCACAGGATTTACTGGGACTGAGGCCCCTTCCACACAGCTGTATAAAATCCCACATTATGCGCCTTGATATTCTGGGTTATATGGCTGTGTGGAAGGGCCCTACAAGTGTGTGATTCACCCAAGGTGAGATACTGAACTTGGGTCTCCATAGACTGACTCCAATGTTCAAGCTGCAAAGAGTTTCCCAAGGTAATAAACACTATTCTGGCAAGTATGAGCTACTGTAGGTCTTGGGGAGGAACACAATATTATGAACTACAGTATCATATTGTTTTTATGTTATGAATTTGGAAGATATTCCGAGTATGCTTTCTCCACTTTGTACAGAATAGTGCAAACACAACTCAATCAAGAGGGAACATTAAAAGTAACAAAAACAAACTTAAAAGTATGCTTGTTTTGTATCTTACCCTCTTTACAGTTGAAGCAAGTGCCTGAAGAACAGCTAACTTATCCCTAAAGTTAAGAAAACAGCATTAAAATTTTAAAACATATATAATCATGAATTAAAACGAGTTCATTTAGAAACAGTAATTGTAGCATCCTCCTGGAAAGTCTGTTTGGGATGGGGCTTTGAGGCAGTTGTGCTGAAATTATGCAACTTTTTGACTTCTCATCTCCAGAAATTAGTGAGCAACTTCAACTAAATACCTTAACGTTTGGTGTTTTGAGGTGGGACTCAAATCTAAACTTGAAATTCATTTATTTTTCATACACAATTTATATACATAATCTGATGGTTATTTTATACAGTATTTTTATACGTTCGTGCACAAAACCATCTGAAAGCAAAGGTGTCACTATCTTAATCATTCATGTGTACAATTTTAGATTTTGGAGTATGTTAAAATTCTGGCTAAGGAATGCTCAATCTGCATTATAAATATTTGAATGCCATTTTAATTAAACATAGTGACTATAGTAGAAGGACAGGATGTGCCTAACTGATTAATTTACAGAGCATTGAATAGAAAACTTCTTACCAGGTTTTCTTTCTTGGGAGAATAATATCTTCTTCAGCAACTTTGGTTTAAAAAAAGCAACAAACAAATACAAATTTTAAAAATACATTTATAAAAGGTATTTGTCTAGAGCAGGGGTACTCAAACTATGGCTCGAGGGCCGGATATGACTCCCCAAGGTCATTTACCCAGCCCTCGCTCAGCGTCAACCTTAGGCTGAAATGACTAGGCAACAACACAGCAACAACAACAACAACAATCCTATCTCATCAGCCAAAAGCAGGCCCACACTTCCCTTTGAAATACGAATACGTTTATATTTGTTTAAATTGCTCTTCATTTTAATTATTGTATTGTTTTAAAGTGTTTTTTGCACTACAAATAAGATATGTGCAATGTGCATAGGAATTCATTCATGCTTTTTTCAAATTATAATCCAGCCCTCCAACAGTTTGAGGGACTTTGACCTGGCCTTCTGTTTAAAAAGTTTGGGGACTCCTGGTCTAGAGACTATAAATGTCTTAATTCTGCAGAAAGTTGGTGATTAAGCTTAAGTAATTTTAAAGAAATGGTTTTTTGATTCAAAACTTTGCCAATTGTAACAAACAACATTTTTATTCTATTCACTTTTATTCAAAGTTCTTTTAAAATAGAAATGTTTGTCAAAGTAAATATGCTTACAATTAAATATTTTTCTTATACTTTTTACGAGTACAGAAGAGACAACCATAAAATTGTACCTTGAAGGCCAGGAGATTTTTCTTGAACAGCTGCAAGTTCTGAACAGTGCCTAGAGAGTCAAACCAACATAATAATCAAATGTAATGCAAATGTTTTCATGACACTGCAGATAATATAAAGGATTTACTGGAACCAACAATATAATTGTATTGCCACAGGCTTTCATGGCTGGAATCACTGGGTTGTTGTAGGTTTTTCGGGCTATATGGCCATGTTCTAGAAGCATTCTCTCCTGATGTTTCACCTGCATCTATGGCACGCATCCTCAGAGGTAGTGAGACATAGCATAAATGGGGCTTGAGCATCCATGGATTTTTTGATCCATTAAGGTCCTATAACCAAATGTCTGCGGACCAAAGGGTCAACTGTATTCTAGCCAGACAGTCTTTAAGCACTAATTTTAAATGTATATCCTTTGTTTAATTCTTATTTATGTATTTTATAGAAATACTAGCTGTCCCCTGCCACGCGTTGCTGTGGCCCAGTCTGGTGATCTCGAAAATAAAGTAATGAGAAAGTGTTGGTTTCTAATATATGTAATTCCTTTATGCTTGTGGGTAAACAGTATTTCTTGTTGTTTCTTTGTCAGTGTTGATGTGGAGAGTGTCTGGTTTGCCTACTCTGGAATATGCAACATATCATAGTCCTTCTTGAGGGGTCCCTTTCAAATCTATGATACTATATCACTGTTTGTGTGAATCATATCTATCTATATTTATGACTGGATGGCTCTTTATCAGGAGGGCTCTGATTACATGTTCTTGCCCTGGTGAAGAGAGTTATACTGGATGGCCTGAAGTATTTTCTGTTGGTCATGGGGGTCCTGTGTGGGAAATTTGCCCAAATTCTGTTGTTTGTGGGATTCAGAATGCTCTTTGATTGTAGGTGAACTATAAATCTCAGTAGGTTGTTGTAGGTTTTTTCGGGCTATATGGCCATGGTCTAGAGGCATATGCCTCTAGACCAGTGTTTCTCAACCTGGGGGTCAGGACCCCTGAGGGGGTCGCGAAGGGGTGTCAGAGGGGTCGCCAAAGACAGTATTTTCTGATGGTCATGGGGATTCCATGTGGGAAGTTTGAGCCAATTCTATCGTTGGTGGAGTTCAGAATGTTCTTTGATTGTAATGAACTATAAATCCCAGCAACTACAACTCCCAAATGTCAAGATCTATTTTCCCCAGACTCCACCAGTGTTCACATTTGGCCATATTGAGTATTTGTGCCAGGTTTGGTCCAGATCCACCATTGCATGAGTCCACAGTGCTCCCTGGATAAAGGTCAATACCCACCAAATCTTCCAGTTTTCTGTGTCATGGGAGTTCTGTTGGGAAGTTTGGTTCAATTCCATGTGGGGTTCAGAATGCTCTTTGATTGTAGGTGAACTATAAATCCCAGTAACTACAATCCCAAATGTCAAGGTTTATTTCCCCCAAACTCCATCTGTGTTCATATTTGGGCATATGGAATATTCGTGCCAAGTTTGGTCCAGATCCATCATTGTTTGAGTCCACAGTGCTCTCTGGATGTAGTTGAACTACAACTCCCAAACTCAAGGTCAATGCCCACCAAACCCTTCTAGTGTTTTCTGTTGGTCATGGGAGTCCTGTGTGCCAGTTGGTTCAATTCCATCATTGGTGGAGTTCAGAATGCTCTTTGATTGTAGGTGAACTACAAATCCCTTCAACTACAACTCCCAAATGACAAAATCATAATTTTTTGAGTGATGGTCACTCCTTGTGTTGTGAGACGTTTTGTTGCCAAAATTGGTGTGATTTTGTTCATTGGTTCTTTTGTTTTTAAGGTACTCATTATGAACAGAGCATTTATATATATATATGTTTAAATGTGTGTATTTGAAGTGTCGTCGCAATGTTAATGTGTGTTGAATTATTCTGTGACCAGTCTCGCGCCATGAGCGTGGGCCTCCAACTCCCAGAATGCCTTCGCATTGACCAAGCTGGCAAGGGCACCTGGGAATTGGAGTTTGAGAATGCGGCGCGACCTCTTCAGCGCGGTGAAAGGGAGAGACTTCCCACCACGAGGCCCTCTCCGCCTCTTTCGGGCCCGAGCCCAGAAGCCCTCCATTCCTTACTTTACCTGGCGCTCCCTTCTGCTGCTGCTCCCAAGGACACCAGGCCTTTCCGCCGCAAAGCTCGGCGCCCAGCGCAGCTGAAGCGCAGCCAGCGAGCCGCCATCTTGGAATGAGCAGCACGCGCCGGAAACGGAACTCGGGGGGATGCAAGCCCCGCCTCCCTTTGCACGTGTTGAGCTTCCTGGGCGCCTGGCAATAGGCTCAGGACCATGGCGGTGAAGGAAGCTCCCTGGCGGCGCCTGGCAGGGTTGTCCTTCGGGATGTACACGGCCGAGGAGATTCGGTGAGAGACCGGGCGGAGGGAGAGAAGGGGTTTGGAAGAGGCCATCAGTTCTAGCCCAACCCCCTGCCATGCAGGAAAGGCACAATCAAAGCACCCCCGACAGATGGCCATCCAGCCTCTGTTCAGAAGCCTCCAAGGAAGGAGCTTCCCTCACACTCGGAGGCAGAGAGTTCCACTGCTGAACAGCGCTTAGGAAGTTCTTCTAATGTAGTGGTTCTCAACCTTCCTAATGCCTACACCCCTTAATACAGTTCCTCATTTTGTGGTGACCCCCAACCATAAAATTATTTTCTGTCGCTACGTCATAACTGTAATTTTGCTACTGTTAGGAATCGTAATGTAAATATCTGATATGCAGGTTGGGTGCATATTCATTGACCAAATCTGTTTGTTTTTTTGTCGTGTCAGGAGCGACCTGAGAAACTGCAAGTCGCTTCTGGTGTGAGAGAATTGGCTGTCTGCAAGGACGTTGCCCAGGGGACGCCCGATGATTTGATGTTTTTATCATCCTTGTGGGAGGCTTCTCTCATGTCCCCGTATGAGGAGCTGGAGCTGATAGAGGGAGCTCATTCGCCTCTCCCCGGATTCAAACTGTAACCTGTCGGTCTTCAGTCCTGCCAGCACAGGGGTTTAACCCACTGCGCCACCGGGGGCTCCACCA